TCACTTCGTACTCAAAAGGTTCCCAGTACGACAGCAATAAATTGATGTCCATTGTGTAAGAAGACAGCAGATTGCGAAATGACCTGTTCGGGGCCTCTAAAGATTTCTACGACGATGTCGCCCACCCCGGTGAGCTCCTCTACCTGTGTTGAAGTAGCATGCCATTGGCTATGGCTATCTAGGAGGCCCCCTAAGGGCCTATATCGCAGTGTGAAACTCGTAGTGACTGTTGAGGTGGCTTAGTGGACCAGTAGGAAGTCTGCATGTACACTGTTGAAGGCCCCGAAAGGGACTCTAAACTGTCAGGTTCTAAAGGGTTAACGTCCAAGCGAAACATTCTCCTACCCCCATCGTAAATTAACGATATGTAAATTAGCGACGATATCTCTATCATCAGACTCACGTCACATATTAGGACGTTATCAAGAGCTTCCGTTGACATTCTCGGATACTTATTCTCTAAGCTTTGCTACAATAGGTACATGTCCGTAACATTTTCCCCCAAAGCAAGTTTACTTTTAAATGCTACAGTTAATAGTATATTCTACTATTAACTGTAGCATTTAAAAGTAAACTTGCTTTGGGGGAAAATGTTACGGACATGAATCTACTGTAGTATGTTTCCAAGCATGAGTACTACTATTTTAGTCGGCATTATATCCAATTAAAACGTTTCCACTTTTCAACAAATCAAATCGAACCTTCCAATTACCCTCCATCATTCCCTCATTCCCTCTATTCACAGTATGTGGTCGTCATCCACTTCGTCGGACGTGGATCTGCTCTTCCCCAGACGTCCCCGCCGTGGTCCCAATAGCTCGAATGTCTCTTCAACACGCCGCAGTAGTGCCACCAGTCGTTTGGAGCAACGTCGTCGTGATCTGCCGCCGCATTCGGTGTCTACAGGCAGCTTGTGGGCGTTTGACGGGTCCTCCACAGTTTCAGCGGGCTTTGCGTCTTCCACGACCGTTACCGACTACAGCGGGGTATCAGCAGCTCCTACATCGTCTGATGAGTCGAACGCGGGCCCTCCAGGTCTCCAAAGCGGCGTGAAAACTGCGAATCATGGCGTTATCGGGTCGTACTCCAGTGGTGAAGTTACAGCTCGAATGCTATGGAATAGACCCGAAAGAGAAGAAGAGGAGCGAGAAGAAGAGGCCCTTCCTTCGTATCTGAGCTATCTACAGGCTCCGTCGCTCCCAGGAGACGCCACAGCTGCAATATCAGCTCCAGCTTTTGGTCCAATGACGAGTATGACCCAGACGAGAGATGACCCTATGGAGATGAAGAGCCAACAGCTTGCCAGGGCACTGCAGGACTTTATTATGGTGCAAATGCAGGGAATCCCGGGCAGTTCGAGCTCTGTAGGAGGCTGTAACTGTGAACGTCGCGTGATAGAGTTGGAAAAGCAGGTGCAGAGTCTGCTAGCGGCTCAGAAACAGGATAATTCTGTCCCAGAGGACTCGGGAAGTGCTCTGGGAGATCGCGTATCCACGCTGGAGGGACGACAGAGTGCGTTCCAGTCGCAATTGGCGCAGATTTCCAAGGTACTGGGCGTGCCGGTGGGTAAACACGGCAAGAGCAGTCAGCTTAAGACCCTGGTACAGACGCTGCATGAAGAAATCGACTCAAAAGTCCAATCAGGTAGGACATTCCAACCTCTAAATGTCCGTTTAAGCTCTAACACATTCCTTATCATCCACAGCGGTCGCTGAAGTGGAGGCTGCGTGTGTAGCCAGCGCTTCCAAGCACACAGAGGAGTTGATAGCCGAAGCAGCCGCCTCTGCTTCTTCCTCTCCTGCTGGGGAGTCGTCCACGCCGTCTGATCCCAACGAAGAGAAGAAGCAGCAGACTGCCAGTGACTTTGACACCGTTTCCACCTCTGGGCTGCCTTTCTCGACTGTTTTGAATGCGTTAGCGGAGGAGCACGAGGCGTCGTTGACTAGATTGAGCACGCACTTTGACGAACGTCTGCGTCTGGAAGGATCACAACGTATAGCGTTGGAAGGACGCATACGTGCTCGTCTTGGCGAGCTGGAGGAGTGGTTACAGCAGGTTGAAGGGGAGCTGGGAGGCTCCCACTTCCAACCTGCTGCGTCCACTACTAGTTCGTCTCTCGCTGCTATGACGAAACAACTGAACGCTCTTGAGACGCAATTAAGTGAGCTGGAAACCTCGTGGAAAGCGCAACGCCGGGAGGTCCACGAGATCTGCGCCAAAATGGAACAATTACCGAATTGTGACGAGTTACAGGCTCAGCTGGCTCAGCAGAATGACGAGCTCCAGACTCTTCGAGACAACGTCGCCAGTGTGGAAACAGCAGCGTTGTCAACCCGTGACGAGACTCACGCGGTGACTCGCACGGCCCAGGGCCTCAAGTTAATTGTGGAAAAACTGGTACGTGACACAGGGTCGGCCGAGGAGCTACTGCAGCAATACGTGAGTACGATTACTCACCAAGTGGCCAGTGTGACTCGGCAGTACGTGTCTGTGCGCATCCGAGACAACAATCGACTGCTGGACGCCACGCTGCGTGCGCGAGTACCCGACTACGTTGCAAACGAGAGCGAAAGCTTTTTACTGGTGCGTCCGGAGACCAAGAAAGAAGGTGAAGGCCACGAAACGATCCATCTTGATGCTGCGGGAACGGAGGGGAGTGATAATTTCAGCTTCGTACTACGCGAGGACGACGAGAAGGGCATCCGCCGCTTGCTGGCCAGTCAGCGAGCTACTAAACCCGGCACCATCAGCACCACCATTAGCTCAGACGCTAGTGCTGTTGCTGCTGCTGCCGGTGGGATGTCAACGTCTTAATCTGAGTACCAGACCCCTAATTAGGGGTCATTTTTGCATTAAAATGGGATACGTCTCTTGAATACTGCTGTTGCTCAACACAGATTTATCGAATTTGTTAAATGTTGACTCGGGAGCACAGTAGTACATGTTCAGCACTGTTGAGCCATGTACTGGAGATATGACTCGCACTGGACATGTCTACACCAAGGATATTATAAAAAAAAAAAAACGAAAGAGGATCGCAACGCTCAGCTCTGAACTGCAACGTCTCGATCGGCAACGCTTGCGTGCGATAAATCGAATTGCTTCCGTCGGTCTCGTTCAACCACAGCTTAAGCATTAAGTATAGCTTGCTCCGTGGCCGCTGTCTAAAATTTTTTTTTCGTGTACTTGCAGCCATTCCTCAAAAGTGGGAACTTGTAGTCGGAGCACAGATTGTGTGGTGAATGACTCCCATCCGAGCACGGGGTGCGTAGTTTCTGGACCAGACGAAGTTAAACGAGCTGCAATAACGTTCAATGCTGAACCCAACGCTCTCTGTAAACAGGCCGTGTAAGTGAAGAAGAAAGTGATGAACGTTGGACGAGAGCCGCTCGAATGAGCGACGCACGATTTGTTTCTGAAACGAATGATGTAATTAGCAGTCTCATGCTCAGACAGGTCACTTGGATAGCCGCCTCTTGCGTGAAAAACGCTTGCGATGCGTAGCCACCTGTCAGTTACTCGTCCAAGGTCTCAAAAAGTGAGTCAAAGCAATGTGCAGGCGGCGAAGAGCTACGATATCTGCAGTGTGCACATCTTGTGACTTTTATGAACCTCAAAGTAGAGTTGGGAGTTGCACGCTGTCCTAACTTGAGCTTGAAGTTTTGCCAAAAGGATTTGGCATGTTCGCATTTCGAGTCCCTAAATTAGGGCGTTGCAAGGAGTGGCATGCATGCAAACTCATGGTGTGAAGAATTTACTGCTCGCCATCTCCGTCCAGTCAACGGCGCGACAAGTGCACGTGACTGTCTACAGTTGGCACCCAAAAACTAAATCACACGACACATCATAAAACACTAGAACATTTACCATTACTTCTACGACACGTATCATCGTACAGGATGCTTCACTGTATTAAAATCCTCGGTGGTCGTAAGATTGCAGCTAGCGATGTCAAATCTTACTCCAAATCTGCTGACAGAGTGATAACGACGCCTAGTTTTGTGCATTATTGCTCGTTTTGAGTGCAAAAATCGCAGGAGATTAGCCTGAATTCAGTGTAAATACTATTTCAGAACGAATAAAACGGGCGATCGTCAGCCGAAATTTTCGCGGCGCTTCCGTTGGCTCTCAGTACAGTACCGCCAACAACTTCACTCAAGTGTTTTGAGTCCAGGCACCTAGCTCCACTATAGCCAGTGTACTACCATATCCCGTCAAGAACGAACGTCTACGAAGGCCGCGAACGCTCAATCGCTACCGTTCCCGTCGTGACTCAGCATACACTCGATGTCTCTGTGGTATCTGGCCAGAGAGCTGCTGGCTTTACTACCTAGGTTGCAGTTGGCCAGAATTAGCGACGAATGCGTTTCGTCATCGAAATGGATCCGATCCAGACGTGGCTCAGGGACGCCGCCGCACAGAATGCAAAGTGGCATCGCTGCATGTAACTTCACCAGTGAAGCGTACGCTGGCAAGTTAAAGTTACTGCTATTTTCAGGGAAAGTACAGTTGATTTTCGTGCCAAAAAAAATGCTGGTAATTTACTCTTAAGTTCGACAACTTTTGACGCATGAAAACTGAAATCGGATTGGACAGGGATGACAAGCATACATGCGCCGACTCCCGCGACAGAACTGGGCCAATCTGTCATGGGAGGATCATCTTTGACAGGAAAAAATGCGTTTCTTTGCCACATTTTTGTGAACTGGAGCAGTTGAGTGAATTAACCGCAGAATCGTCCCCAGAGAAATGCGACTGTGGCATGACTCTCTCCGGCAAACCTGGCGCAAATACTCTTTTCGCCTCATCCAATGCGTCTGCGCTGGATCTCGTCGTTGTTACGCAGTGTCGTCTGTACTTCGAAGCTGGCCACGACAGTTTGCAGCGATTCCTTCCGAAGTTCGTAAGCTCTCCGGCTGTTCGTGGACTCAAGACAACTTTCTCATCACGCACTGGCAAAAAAAAAAATAAACTTGTAACGAGATTGTGAGCATTTGAGCTCGCCCTGTCGCTTACGCATCTTTGCCGGAGGTTTTTTTTTTCTGTCTAACCTTCGACTTTTTTTTTTTTTTTCTCAGCCGGAGAATTGGCAATGCTAGCCACAATTCTCGCTCTTCACTTTGCAAAGGGTTCCTCAAGACGCAAGTGCAAAAGAGTTGCCGCAACAAACTTTTTTGCGTTTCGTTTCGCTCAAAAATGCTCTACAACCCGTCGGCGTACAAGAACATGAGCGCGACCAGCTACGCCGTCGCCAGCCCCGATGGAGCCAAGCGCCACATGATCTCGATGCCGCGTCGCAGGGACAGCCCGCCATTGCCAGGCCTCGTGTCCATGCTGCAGCAGCAGCGCAACCCGCAGGAATCCTTCATTCTGTCTCCGCACTCGCTGCAAATCGCCCAAGCGCCTCGAGCCACCACGCCCAGCACCAGCAGCGAAGACGGCTCGGAGCCGCTTAAATACACGAGCACAATGTACCGCCCGAAGATCGAGACCAGCCCGATCTCGGAGCAAGAGCGCAAGGCCGTGGCAACAAGCATTGCCGCTTCGTTGGCACCAACGGCGACAGCTTCATCCGTTGCCGCCCCGCCAGTGAAATCGTCGCGGTATTTGCGGGAAATGGACCGCCGCGCCATTTTATCCCGCATCGAGCAAGGCGAAAAGCAGTCGGCACTGGCAAAAGAGTACAAAGTGAGTCGAGCGGCCATTTGCAACCTGAACAAGCACAGAGACGAAGTTTTGTCCAGGAAAAATGGCAACCCGCTGGCCAAACACCCCAAAAAGCCGCGCCCCAAGACTTTGAAAACGAAAATTGGCAAAAGCGGATGGTCCCCGACCAGAGAGAATTTGCCACAAGAGCAAGAGGGGGTGTACGAGATCAAATCGCGCGCGGCGGCGCTGCTACTCACGACTTTAAGGAAGAAACACGCCACGGTGAGTGAGTTCCGACGCTCGAGCGACCGACTCATGCGCATCGTGATGGAGGAAGCTCTGGCGCATGTGCCGGTCAAGACGGTGGAGATTTTTTTGCCAAACCACAGCAAGTCGGACGGTGTGGCCCTGGAGCACCCGCCGTGTGCCGTCTCCATGGAACCAGCAGGGTGCCCCATGCTCGATCTTTTCCACTTGATGGAGCCGGATCAGCCCACGGGCTACGTGAGTTTCGGCGATATGTCGGCTTCGCCCAGTGATTCTCAGACCGGAGACGTGCAAGCCAAGATTGGTGGCAATAGACTACCCAGTAGCCTAAATTATCACAACGTGTTCGTTATGGATCACGTGGTTACCTCCGCCGAGGTGGTGATCGCCGTAGTGAGACGGTTGCAGGAGCACGGAGCAGTCGAAGCCATGATTTCCCTCGTGGCTCTAATTGCAACTCCGGAAGCGGTGGAAAACATTCATTCTGTCTTCCCAGCACTGAAAATTGTCGTGGCACAAGTGGATAATGGAGGAGAAGAGCTGACAGCGCCGTCCCCAGTCGATATCGAGGCCATGCGCATGCGTGCATCGACTACTGATATGATTCTGGATCGCCTGGAACAAGTTTATCACGGCCTGTCACCAGCCACTCCATACTGAAGTGCTAAGCACAAGAAAGTGAGTTCTTAGGTATAATGACGTTAAAACTCCATGTATACTAAATAGTGATAAGAAAAACAAAAAAGTTAGCATGAAACATGAAAATATTCCGGAAAATGTTACATTTACGAAACATTGAATACGATACTTTTTTTTTTTTTTATTATTTTAAAGGTAAATAGTTAAAGCTCGACTCGAGATGCAAGTGATAGAGACGCATAGAGCGAGCGGAGTTGCTGTCCCAGTCCAGCTTGTTGTTGCAACAACTGCTGGTTGCGTCGCTCCAGGTCTGCTGGCAACACTCGAGCTCTCGGCGGCGTGTTCTGGTCGCTTGTGACGGAAGCAGGAGGACTCGTTGCGTCCGAGACGGGGGTAACTGGAGTCGCTGGTTGCACTTCCAGTGCTGACACCGACGTGGCCTGTTGCACGAGTCTTTGCTGCTTCTGGATCTCGTATCGACGGCGACAGCGCTCCCGTTCACGCAGTTTCTGCTCTTGTGTTGCATTCTGACGGCGCATACGACTGCGCTGTGCCTCTCGTTTACGTTGCTGCTCGGTCGCATTCAGTCGGCGTTCTCTCGAGCGCTTCATCTCTCGTTCTCGGGCGTCAGGAGACGCCTCAGCACGGCGCAATCGACTCCGAGCTCGCTCCTCGGCGCGTTGTCGCTTGCGAGCTCGTCTCTCGGCGTCTGCCTGTCGTTGCGCTGGCGTGAGCTGCTCTCGGCGTCTTCTGCTCCGCTCTGCTTCTGCCCTTTTAGCCTCAGGAGTTGCGTTCATGCGACGCAGGCGGCTTCGCTCTGCCTCGATCGAGTGTCTCGGAGTTGTAGCGATCGATACACTTTCAATAGAAATTTCACCTGCTTGTTGTAAATATCCCGCTGGACTAAGACTTGCCGTATTGTGACTGGTGAGATTCCCACGACTCAAAGAGCTGTCCACTGCCGGCAGCATACTGAGAAAAGAATTGTACGCGGCTTCGTGGAACTGTCGTAGATGCAGCAAGGCCTGTCGACGTCCTAGCTCGTTGGGCTCGAAGGCGTGAGGGATCTCACCGCTCTTCCGGGCTTGTTTGCACCTGAATATTTATTATAACAGTAAATATGTTAGTTTTTTTTTCATTACTTTTACATGAATATAATAATAAAAACTTACAATCGACAAGACCAACACTCGCGCTCAGCGATTTCACCCCATTTGTTGTCTTGCATGGAAATCTGCCGGCAAAAAGAAAAAAGTTAGACACAAAGCGACGAATGGCAAATCGTAGACTTGTGCTCACCATTCTCTTCTCAGTGGACTTGAGCTGGCCGAACCACGCCTTGGCATCTTTCTTGCGCCGGGGCCCGAAGCGCACGCGCTGGTTCTCCTCCTCGGAGCAGCCATTGAAGCGGTACAGCACGTTCTTGAGGTGGCACGTCTTGAAATGCGTCACGAAATATCTGTCACAATTGAATAACAAATATTGCCACCAGTGAGCAACTTTTTTTTTTTTTTTTCACTTTAGATAGCCAGTGTTGCTGGCAACGTGGCAACTTGCCACTAAACACGCACCGCGGATGCCGCAGGAAGTCAAAGAAGAAGTTCTCGTCGCACTCTTCGCAGCGAATGAGATTCGCACGGATGTGGTCGAAATGCTCATCGATGCGCGGGCCTGCGTCTCGTGCAGTAGCGTCAGTCTCCATTTTTCCACCTTCTCCACACTTGAGATTTCTCTAAACTGAAATGTGGAACAGAACAGGCAACGAAAACTAGAAACGCAACGTTGGTGGCGGGATTGTGACAAATTGGTGGTAGTAGTCGAGTGGCTTCAACGCCACTAAAGCGGGGGAATTTTGCCGATCAGAGTCGTTTAGCCCCAGACCGAGTCGAGTGATAATGGCCCGCGTGTTCGTTGGCAACTTGCCCGAGGACGTGCGTGAGCGCGAACTCTCCGACAAGTTCGAGCGCTTCGGGCGCCTTACGAGCGTACGCATCAAGTTCCCGGCGCGGCCTCCGCCCTTCGCTTTCCTGGTGCGGCAATCGTTGGCAATCATTTTTTTTTCACTTTTGCCACTCATCAATTGCAACAATTTCATTTGCCACATGCAGACATTTGAAAACGAACAGGATGCCAGTGACGCGGTGCGATCAATGAATAAGTACGAGCGATTTTTTTTTTCGCATTTTTTTTTTAGTGAAAAACTCTACGACTAATGACATTTTTTCAGCTCAACGTTCTCAGGCAGTCGCATCCGAGTGGAAATGTCACGTGGCATCGACGACGCTCGGTTCGTATGAAATTTAACAAACATTTTTCACAGATTTTAACACTGTACTAACCTGTTTTGCCACCTTGCAGTCCTCGAGGCACTCAGTACCGCGTCAAGATCACCGGACTACCAGACACCATGAGCTGGCAAGACCTCAAGGATTTCCTCCGTAAAGGCGGAGATGTCGTCCACAGTGACGTGGATCGCCGTGGCAATGGATCCGCATCGTTTGCCACTCCAGACGAAATGCGGCGTGCCATTCGAAAATTGGACGGCACCGATCTGGATGGCGAACGCGTCCGGATCCGAGAAGAAGACGCTAAAGGACGTTCACGGTCTCCGTCTCGCTCCCGTTCGAGATCTCCGCCTCGACGTTCGAGTCGTAGACGCTCCCCGTCTCGTTCGCGTTCGAGATCTCCACGTCGCTACAACAACCGAAGCAGTCGCCGTGATCGCTCGCGGTCTCGTTCCCGTTAAAACGTTTGCCGGAGTGTTTGTCACTCGCGCTGTCAAAGTGAAATTTGCCAGCAGTTTTGATTTTGGTGACAGCGTATCATGTCAGTGGAGAACTGTTTTCCACTACGTCATTTGCGCAATTTTTTTTTATTAAGTCAACGTCACTATTTGGAATTTTCAGTTTTTGTTTTTGCTGAAAAAAAAAAAAAAAACTGGTGCTTTTATCCGAAGTTTTTGCGCCAGAGTGTGATCTCCTGTTGTTTAAAGTATCGCCGGTCTTCTTCATCCACCAACACGAGGTTCAGGAAGTATTTGACGGAGAATCGACTCTGTACGTTGCGATACGTCGGGGTAAGAGCGTACGGCGCAAGATACAGCCGAACTGGAACACTTTCCCCCTTGACCGGCGCGCCGTCCATGATCTCGAACTTAGTGACCGTCTCACTCTCGCTGTGGCGCTGAGCTCCAGAGCCCACACTCTCACGACGTAAGATCGCCAGCTCCATGTGTTTGATCTTGATTCGCACCAGCAGGAAGAAAATTTTGCCGATCACCACGTCCTTCAGGTGATATCTAGACGATAAAAAATTTAGATTAAAAAAAAAAACATTTTTCATCACATTTTGTTTTTGCCACTTACCGGGATTTGTCGTACTCGAACTCGATGTGTAGACAGTCCTCGATGCCCACTTCCATCTTGATAGATCGATCCACAGGTGGCGGGGGAGCCACACGTTGCACCCAGAGATCTTGCTCTTGCACGAGATTACTGGCGTAGTTTCCTCTTGCCAACGTGGCACGCAGCACATATCTGAGTTTGACACTTTTGCCATAGTAACTTTCATGGGGTTTTTCCACTTTGGCAAAGTTGAACGCAAAAGTGTGTTCCCCTTCCATGACTCCCCCGCTGGGTTGCAACTCTCGTACTGAGTTTGTGAACTCGAAGCCGGCATTGCGATCCACGGGCACTTCGATAAGACCCAGAAGTTCCAGCTTCAATCCAGTGTGTTCTAACCGCTTGCCAGTGTCCACTTTCACGGTTAAAACCCCGCAAATATCTTCGTCGTCGCGGAAAAGTGGCAACTCTCTGGATATGCCACTTTTTGCATCGTCGAAGCGCGGAACTTTGAGTTTCACACGCTGCTCGTCCTCCAGGGTGAAGCTGAGCTCCGCAGATGGCACACCGAAGCCGAAGAGGTTCTAAACCAAGTGGCAAAGTGGACAGTTAGATAAAAGAGAAGCGAAAAAAGTGAGAAAGCCAAACCACTTGCCATGATAAAAAGAAAACAATGTGAAAAATCTCGGTGAAAAGGACATTCTTAAACTATGTACGCCACACTAGTTTTACTATGATGTCTACACAAGTTTGTTTTAGTATTATTTTTAGCAACTTTGCAACGTTTTTCCAATAGACATTTCTCAACTAGAGATGGACGAAGTCAACGATTCCACTAGTCTCAACTCTTCATCCCTGACCTCTACGTCTCCGCGTACGTCGTCATGGAAACGCATTGAGAAGAAATGGAATCAGGTTCAGGTTGGCCACCAGGGATCCTACTCCGTTGAGCGGTTGGAACTTCTGGATCATTACTGCAACAATACTTCGCTGGTTCGAGTGGTTCTGGTTTGTCTTTTCACTCCGCTGCCATCACTTTTTGTAGCTGTTGCTCTGGAATGTTTACCTCTACAATCGCCATCCGCCGGGTGGGCTTCGAACTGGATGTTCTGGCTTCGAGTAAGTCTCATGTTGCTGATCATTAACCTCGCTGGAGCTTCACAAGGAAATTTATTCGTTCTGGGATACAATCAAACAGTTCGACAGGTAATTTATGCGTCGATCGCAGTAACTTTACTGCAAAGCGGATCGTTTCTTCTTGAAGCTATGATTATTGGCTTCCCCGTGCCGTTCATGTGGCAGCTCGGCTCTATAACGATGGGGATTTTCGTACCTATAGTGACTCGTTTTGTCAACGGACCTGGGGTCTTTGTCAACGGCTCGGCTCTTGCTCAACACCACAAGCGGCTTCTAAATAGTTTTTTCGTTCACTTGGCATTGATAGGAGTGTACCCGCTATGTAGAGTGTTGTATGACTTGATCCCTCATTTGTATCGGGGTGTTGTGGTCTTTATTATCCCTCTATGGAAATTTGCAGCAAAACGCTTTGCAGTGCGGATGGTTCACGAATTGGAAGACTTTGTTCCGGAACTGGTGGCGTTTTCAGTCGATTTCTTCAGTGCTCTCTTTGTGTCTGTGTGTATGTCAACGTCTGGATCATTTCACTTGACTGGATTGTTTATCACGGTTGATATTTTGTTCGCTCTTGTCAAATTTCGTACTCTACACAAGGACGAGAAAGTGATTCGACAGCTGCTACAAGATCGACGGTATATGATAAGTTCCCAACTAACGAAATCCGAGTCTTTCGGACTGTTGCCGATGATTCTCGAGGTAGTGAGAAACCCTAAATCGTATGGTGTAACCTCGTTTGACCGAGTACGACTATGGGCTAGCCCACCCCACCTCGTCCCCGATACACTGTACGAACGCTTACAAACTATGGGAAAGTCTTGCATTTTTGGAGGCAACCAAGCCGATCTAATGCGAGTTTCGTCTTTCATACAAGTTCCTACTACTATGTTTTTAACGTGGAAATTTCGGCAGATATCGGTGATTCCTGCACCCTTGACGATAGTGCCAAGAACAGCTCAACTTCCACCCAATTTGCGAAAGGAGAGCAGCGTCAGACCCACCGATCCGTCGAAGTATCTCGTTCTTCACGGCCTTCAACTGCTATTTAACTGTGAATATCTCGTGCTAGTGGAGTACATTGAATGCGTCGTTCCGTTCGTATTCGTTGTGTACAAATTGGTACTGGAGAGATTGCCAAATGCTGTCTACTTTCCTAGTGGCTCTGGGAACTGGGGTATCCCAGCAGTGACAAACCTGTTAGTGTTTGGAGTACTGGAAGTTGGTTCACTCGTTTTACTTCACGTTTTTCTGCAACGAAAGTTTGGTTTTTCTTCGTTGTACCAGCTCGCGTTTGTATTGAAAACCCAGGCTTCTGCTATCCAAGCTCACTTATTCCCCGTGACTATCTTTTTACTCCAGTATCAACTCGCACATTTAGGTACGTGATCATTTTCTAAAACAATCAATTGGAGTTTAAATCACCGTTTCTGATACCTTATCCAGGTGTTGATTTTACCTTTCGCTTTGAGTGGCTTCGTGACAAAATTGAATAATTTTTCGATGTGCTAGCGATACTACGTAAAATACGTCGGTGCTTTCAATTAGGTCTCTTAGTTTCGTTATCACAATGCGATACTAATGGAAAATGGCCCCCGCCCCTCCGCTTTTGCTTATCTACGACGCGGTGTCTATTTGCTGCCGGAACTTGTGTCCAATATGCCGTCGTACACGTCGTCCACACCAAAGTAGCTCTGGAAGTCGGCGTGCAGAGTCATGTTGAGTCCGGGCATCTCGTCCACACAGGATTTATCCAGACTAGCCAAGTCACCTTCATTGCTGACGTACGATGCGAAAATCTTCATGCCGCATGTTTCAGTCGCAGGATCGAATGGGTCAAGTTGAGTCCACAAGAGCGCGCCGTGGATAGAATACTCGAACGTGACCAGCTCCTTGTTGTCACCTTTGAGTGATTTAAAAAAATATTTCGCATAGTCGTGCGGTGTTTGCGCGTCCAGTTTACTGCTCATCACCAAGACACTGACCTGACTTGGAATTGTGGCACTCACGTTCCAATACTTGTCGTGCTTGTAGATGATTCCCGGTGCATCGTAGTCGCCAACCTTCAACTGGTTACAAGCCTTGGATCTGTCCTTGGAGAAGGCACAGTACAGTGGGACCGTCGCGTACATTCCAGTGCTGATGCCATATTCCGTAAAACGATTTGTCATCTCAGTTATCGAAGGCTGCGGTCTCTCCCATAGCTCCGAGAAGACGATGAGATTGTACAACAGTACAGAGTAATACAGATCCGTGTCATCCGAATTGCCGACGCTTTGAGCGTACGTACTAAAGAAATGATTCAAGACGTCGACGTCCTTGGAATGGCAGCGCTTGAGTCTGTAAACCAGGGGAGGGATAATGTTGCGCATAGTTGAATCTGGTAATAGGGTGTTCAAGAACATCCTTAGAGATTGCGACGGATCCACCTCGTACCCAAGGTTATTCATAATAGCTGCACACGTCGAGTTGGGTTTGTTGTTAAATGTATCCAACAGAGCGTAAAGTGTAGAACCCAAGGTATGTGGTTTTTTGAAATGGGCATTGCAGGTACGATCTCGTGCACAGAGTTCCATGAAAGCGTCGCCAACTTTACCAGAATCAATATCCATTCTTGAGAAATAGGGAAACAGATCAGCAGGCGCCCTTGTGGTAGACGTGACTCCATCCAACACATAGCCAGTAACTTGAGGAGGAGAGAGATGCATAATGCGTTCTACCAGTAACGTCCCGTAGCTTGTGCCGTACACGATTGTGTTCTCGCCGTTGGAGAACTCGGCTAACAAGGTTACGAGGTCTTTTGCCGCACTCGTTGTCGAGAATGACGCGAGATCGCCGTACTTACGCTCCAGTGCTTGGGCACACGAAGGAACTTCAGAAGGATCGATGCTTTTACCATTAGGAGATCCACTCGTAATTGCCTGCGCTGCAGAGCAATCGAGAAGAGAGCTACGTCCGGTGCCACGATGATCCATCGTATACACGTTCACAGCTCCCTTAAGTTTTTCGTACAGCGTAACCATTTGAGATTCCACTGTAATAGAACAAACAATAAGAAAGCTTAGTAAAATCTACGATCAATGCAATCTGTCAAAACGTTGACGTCGGTAACTTACGGCCGTTGGAGGCAAACCCGGGACCTCCTTCTAGAAGCCAGACATTACTAGCAGTCTTTGGTTCGGCGGCTGGAAGTCGCTTTACGAAGATGTCGATAGTCTGGTCCACCCACTTGAGCGCTTCACACACACCAGGATAGCACAGGGGGGCCGAGTACGTAGCACACTCAGCACTCTGCACGTCAGAACTCCCAGTGCCGAATGTGTAGTCGGAGCAAGGATACCATCCATTAAACTTGGATGTCTTCGATGTTGTTTTAGTCCCAGACGAAATCTGTAGGATAGTAGCCGCAAGAGAGAGGACGTAGCGAAGTTGCATTTCCACTTGAATGGAGATCGTGCTGAGTCGCGAGTTCCGAGCGAATTTCGAAATGGGGAAGAGCGAGTGAGCCAGTGTCCGATGGAACATTCATCGGGTGGATTGGTACATCTCGTAAACAAACGGATTCATTTGCGATAAATATCCAGATCTGTCATTTCCCTCATAAAAAGACGATGAGTGAATGTTAACGTCAAGTTCTCGTTCACTACTTTGGCGAAGTTTAGATTTTAACGGCAACGTCGACAGCACTACTGTACATATCCGTATATTGCAGTGTAGGATCAATATGTTGATTGCGGTGGTTCCTCCACGCACACTACAGTGTAGGATCAATATGTTGATTGCGGTAGTTCCTCCACAATCAAACATGTCAGGATAATGGTTATGACGTGCAATTTAGTGGTATAGAAAACACTATTCGTGTAGCTTTGAATGTGCTGCATGTATGATTTAAGCGATCTACACAATAATGTTGTTGTCAGCGATGAAGACAATGTGGCTCACAGAATCGGATTTAGGTAGCTATGCCGCTTAGAGACAGCACTCCCTGCGGTTGAAAATCGGCTGATTACTGGCTGTTCGGGGACTGCAAAATTGAGAACTGTTACGCTTTTTTTTTGGGTGTTGCCTCCACAGTTTTCGATGATCTATACCGCGTGTGAGGATAATAATAACTTTGTAAGTATTCAACACCTCTGTCAAAATTATTGTGTGATACCCCTGTTTCACCATCAAACATGTGGTTGGTTGCTGCTGAAAACTGTGAGCAGAGTTTAGAGTAAAGTAATCTGTACTTTCACTCTTTTCACGCCAAACATTAGACGTCAAAATTTAAGGTTAACATGCAAACGTCGACAGCACTAATGTACAGTATTCGAATCCTAGCTCAACCCTACGATAATCTTTGCAATTATCTTTTTGCTGTGCATGTTTACTGTGACGTGGTCGCTGACTCTGAATTAGCGTAAACTTAATATTGAGTGTCGTTTTTTTACATCAGGATACGATTCTATTGGTCCAAAATCGCATGGATTTCCAACAGACAAGTGTGAGGAAATATAACAACCACACGAAGAAATCTGGTGAACACAATAACCCATCTCCAACAAAACGACAAAAACAGAACCATCATACGGCCCTTTTAATTACACAGCGCTCTGTCCTTGAGGCGGCGACACGTACTGAAGTATTGCTAAGAAAGTAACAAATGTAAGACTAATTATAATCAAAAGTAACATTTTTCTAAAGTCTAAAAGTAACGTTTCTTTGCAGCCGTCGATCAATTTCAATTAACAAATCTCAACCGCAGGGCAGGCGTCCCTCAGCCCCACGACAAGGCGTCGCAGTTCCAGACCTGTACGCAGCGCAATGGCGGGGCTCAGTGTCTCCCAGCTCCCCCCGAGTCCTTCCTTGCCGGCGACGTGGTGGAATACTACAGCCAGGGCTATGTCTGCGGCGACCGGCGTGGCCACCGCATTGCGGTTGTTCTGAAGATCGTCTCAATGGACGACAACCCATTCCCCGTCTCGCTGGACACGCAAGAGCCGCTGCCACTGACCGCCATGGTGCGCCGCCGATTCGACGGCGTCGCCAACGAGCTACCCATTGACCGCGTGCGCTGGCGCAAGCTGCGCTCCAACAAACTGGTGACCGGAATGCATGACGCTCCTACGTCCGCGGATCGTCTCGGCGCTGCCATGAAGGCTGCTGTCCTTAGTGGCGAGCGGTGCCATACAACGAGCGGAACGCGAAGGGACCAGCAACCGCCTGCCCCACCGGCTCTTTCTGAACCCACCACTCAACGCTGCAGCTCGCGGTCTTTCCAGTCCGCCCGGCCGATTTTGCGACTGAGCCGTTCCCAAGTAGCTTCATGGTCTTGATGGCGGATTGCACCCGAGGGTTTGGCGCCAAACCCCCTCGAGGCGCCGACTGACGCCATCGTGGATCTCACAGCAGACGAGAGGTGGAAGGAGACGCTGCGGAGGGCGTAGACGGCGCTACGAAGGGCGAGGAGGACGTAACGACCACAGATGAAGTGCCGTCGCCACCTCCTTGGTCGCGGAACGAACTGCAACGTATTGAACGCGTGATTGAAGCCGAGGTCACGGACGCACAGCCGCGGGCTGCAAGCGACTTTGTCAAAGCCATCCCAACACGTTGGCAACGCCAGAAGATACGCCATCAGAGGAAAGTAAAGGGTGGAGACTGGAGCAAGGGACGTTCTCGCAAACACCGTCACGAGGCGATGTGCGGGTTGACCCGCAGCGGAACGCAGCTTTACTACTCTCATGCTACAAAGACAGAGAGAGTGAAGGACATTCTGCGTCTACGGGGGCTACGGACACGACTGCGAGAACTACGCCAACGTCGGCCTACTTACCAGAAGCCACCGCCATCGGTCAACTTTCCACCTACTCTTCCTATTGAGGTGCAATGGCCGAGCAACATTCGCATGGTAACCGAGTGTCTCAATCCTGAGGGCGTGCAGTTCAAGGACGCTGTCGATTTCAGCAGGTGCTCTTGTACAGGCGACTGCTTCATGGACTTGTGTGCGAATGTGGACGGCGCTTTGTATTGCACTCCAGATGCCTGTAATTTGGATGGCATACGCAGCAACGCCCCGAGGACACTGGCCACTTCAAAACTCTTTGACACTGATCGGGTGGGGCTCGGTGTGTTCACAAGCACAGACCTTACCGCCGGAGATGTCATTAGTGAATACGCAGGCGTGCTCAACGCTTCCGATCCTATCGACGCGGGACAACCTGGCCAACGCATGAAACACAATACAGGCTGCGCTATGCTGCTAAACGCGAGATCTACGCGGAGGCAGTACATCTACGTGGAATCGCTAAATTGTGGATCGACCGTACGCTTCATAAGTCACTCGCACACTCCTAACGCAGCGTTCGTCGAGGTGTACAACAGATCATCCGTGAAAGTTCTCGTCAGGATGACCAAGAACTTGTACGCTGGCAGTCAAATTACTGTCGACTACGGCAACCAGACTTGGTTCCGCTGCGCGTGCGACGAGTGCTGGACTGGTGCGGATGGAAGTGAGGACGACGAAAGTAGCTGAATCCGATCGTTCAGACATAACCCTCGTGCAGATTGTGTAGTACGGAGTTTAAACAGCTTGACGAAATCCATGGAAGCGGGTTGAAAGACGAAACTGCACTTCTGGAGGTCGAATTGTACAAATGTAAGTCGTCTTCACACTTCCCTGAATAGAAGTGAAGCACAAGTATTAAGAAGGACATACGCGTACCTCAGCTTGCCTGGTGATCAAAACAACAAGTGCTGGACGGAAACGGATCATTCTCTCATATATATCTGAAGCTATGGAAACCCTCACGTGTAATAGATGCATTGCTGTAATATTTACCGCTACAGAATTTCTTATCGACACGAAAAGGAATTTTTGGAGTGCTGGGCTCAATCGAAACTGAGGGTGGGCCCAACTTCTCGAGATCTATCAGTGGATCGTAGAATGGCTTCAAATCCGCGCTTCCTCTTGCGCCTACTAACCAAAATTTCTCGACCGCTGCTATCAACATGTGTAGTAGCACGAAGGACAAATAACACGTGCACGCAGGTACTGAATGCAAAGCAATAGTCGCACGGACTCTACATCAACCGCCCGCCCACCCGCCCACCCCACAAATCTCCCTCCACTTCCTTGCGTGCATAATTAGATCCCATCTGAGCTGAAACCGCGATTCCAGCCTCGCTACGCTTGTTTGGAGCCACTGGAATGCATGGCGCTGGTAATGCTATCCCACGAAGGGTAGAGTACGCTCCAGCACGTACAGAATCCACATCCTGGTCGTGGGCGAGTCCGCATCAGCTTCCCCACCCTGCGCGCGAGGGTTGGCGTCGGGCAGACCCCAAACTCGAACGACCGCACGCTGCTCGACTGGTCCTGGCAACACGCACTTAGTTCTCGTAGGGGGCGACCCCATTTTCAACCGCCGACGCAGTGTATAGTCTGGTTTCAACAATGGGTTGAAAGTTTCGACAGGGTTGTTCGTAGAGGCGAAACCTGTAGGGGTTGCGAACACTTGCCACGTCCCGAAGTGTCTAGTGCTCCACTGACCGTATATGTACTGGGCGAATACATGTAGTGTAGAGTCCTCCATCCAGCGATTTAAAATCGAACGCAGCATCTTCAAATAAGCTCTTTCACATTGTGCAAAGTGTAGATCGTATACATCCCTTAGAAGTGTAGCTGCCAGACCCGAGGGAAAACACTTGATTGCCCTGAACCTTTTTCATAACGTGGAAGAAGCACATAAGAAACCGATACGCCGGGTGATCCCCGAACACGGCGGCAAGCGCATTACACTGCGCCTTGTCTCCGTCCGCCATGAAGTAATGTACCTGAAGGTCTTTGCCGGAGATCCAGTAGTAGAATCGACGGACGGCTGCTAAGGGCGCCTGAAAAATGGGCTGTATCTCTTGGGAGATTACAATCAGAGCGATCAGGTGAAATCAGCGCGAACGGTCGGATATCCCCACCACCAGCACGGGGTATCCGCACTGATTGAATTTGTACGTTGCGTCTAGGTGGAAAATAAAGCACTCCGGGGGCACCATCAGCCGTAGCATCAATGGCTTTGTCGCCAGACCCGCGATGAAGGGTTTCTCATCCGATCCGTTGCCCACTATCGGCTTCCCAAGCTCGTCTAGCTGCCAGCCGAGCGTGAACGGCTCCGTCATCCCCTCCGATCCATTGTATGCACGTTCGGGCACCCACGCCCGCAAGTCGTCCACACAATCGTGATTTCCAAGTGATTTCGCGAGTAGTTATTTACGAAGTTCTGCACGGCTTTTAGAGCAGATTGGTCTTCTAGAGAGGTCCCTAATTTACGTGAGAGCTCGTGCCAAATGCGCATTGGCCGGAGGTGGTTATCCGCCAGCTCGCGGCAGTACGCTTTCTGTGTAGATGTCAGTTTTTTGCGTTTAGGAGATGCGACGACTGAGTCACGAGACACTTCACGATCTTGCCTCTCCAGCAGCATTTGGCGGCACTGACGTGACAGTAGGTATCGGAGGCGCAGGCAAGGAGGCGGTATCTCATCTTGTGCTCCGAGCCCATGCACATTGTGCATGCCATCGTCTGGTTTTTCTTAATATCGATGCTCTTTATACCCTCCAGCACCGCGTCGGCCGTGGCGGCGTCAACATGGACGGCTCTCCCTTCCCATGAAACCCGTCTAGGCATGGTCGCTTGGGTGGATCTCAAAGCATGGCGTCCGCCTCACACACAACCGTTACTGGTGTGAGACACCTGTCCACACAGCGAGTGCTGATTCGCCATAGGGAACCTACCCGCGCCTTGTTTGCGCGCTTCCAGTGCAAGCCACCTGCGGAGCAAAAACAGTCCATCTATTGTGCTGCCACAACACTGTTGCTGTGGTGACACATTTTTATTGTGCCATCCAGATCGCACTGTACCATGATTCCACTGCTGTGTGCCAGTTAGACTGTCTCGACAAGTTTCCATCCGGAAATTTTGATTATGGGACGCAGTGCGAAATTTTCGACCAAGATAAGATTAGAATTAGTAAACTTTCATTGGTAGTTAATGGATATTAGGCAGTCCGCTCTGTGGGTCCTGACCCGAGTCATTATTAGGCTTTTTCTGTTATTTAGCGAAAATTTGTTGTAGCAATCACAATCTTCACTCTACAGCACCGATGAAAAGGCATGATATCGAGTCCCGTATTACGATGTAGTGGCGACCCTGGTAAGAAACAGCGAAAAAACTTTATTTCATTGTAATTACGCTTGGGCAGATGCAATTATTGCATACTGTCATTTCTTGCATTTATTGCAGATATGGCATAATGGTGGCATCTTATGCAAAATGCATGAAAAAATATCCTGCGACAATTTCGATGTTTACTACTTCTCTGGTCCACGACACTATGCGCAATTGGTTTTTTTTGTGGTGCACACAATACGTTTTATTGGTCAAAACTCAACCCTCAGGCAATACGGCAACGTGCTCTCTCGCGCCAGTAATTTCAACGGAAACTAGCCAGTAATTCCTACTCTCTCATAAAGCTTTCATCCCAACACAATGCACACGCCGGGTGCCAAAGAAATATCTCCGCAGGTCCGCGTAGCTGTCGCTCTGTTTTTAGCTGTTAGGTCAAGCAACGACAAAGTGCAAAGAGGCTGTATTAAAGCTGCGGCTGAACGGTTTAAGATCTCTCGCCGTAAAGTGTCCGCGATATGGAGCAACCGCGACAGCTTCGAAGCTCTTGTTGCCCCTCGAAAACCAAGAGCATGTGGACGCACTCAACTTTCTCCAGCGGAAAGCGCTGACAAAATTCATGAAGCGCCCATGAGCGCGCGCCAGACGTTGCGCTGCCTCGCCTCGGCTACTGGCTTTCCTAAGACGACGCTGATGCGCCACTTGGCGGCAGGTGTCTTTCGTCGTGCTACGACTCGTGTTAAGCCGAAGCTGACAGACGTGGACATGGCACGCCGCTTCGCTTTCGCTCTTGCTCATGTGGAGCGAGCATTTGGTACGTTGCTGCAATACTTAAAACTTCTATAAAACTAACCTTGTTTTGTGTTTGTTTCTTATTAATAGGAGGAAGAGACTATAGAATGCATCACATGTATGACTACGTACACGTAGATGAAAAATGGTTTAATTTATACAAGGTATCGACAAGATATTACCTCACCAAGGATGAGTTTGCACCTCATCAAGCATGCCCCAACCGCCGCTTCATTGGCAAGGTCATGTTTCTTGCAGCCGTAGCGCGGCCGCGGTACGACGCTAAATGCAAGACTTATTTCGACGGAAAAAATCGGAATTTGGCCGGTTGTAGAGTACGTGCGTGCTCAACGATGCTCGGCAAATAGAGCAAAAGGCACTGCTGAGATGAAAAACGTCAACATGACACGAAAGGTGTATGTGAAGATGCTCAAGGAAAAAGTATTTTCAGCGATTCGCCAACTTTGGCCAGGTAAAGCAATTGATTAATTATTTTTTATATTTATCGTACTGTAGGGAGAAAATCTCTGTGCATTAAGGTGCAGCAAGGCAACGCTGGGACACATGTTGCAGATATTCTTGAGGCCGGAATCGGGCACGGCTGGACGAAAGAGATGACGTGTCAGTCACCTCGTTCGCTGGACATGAACGTCCTCGATCTTGGTCTGTTCAATGCTATTCAGTGTGTTCAGTATCGCTACCCTACGCATAACCTCCAGGGGTTGATCGCTGTAGTGGAAGACGCTTTTCGAAGTTTACCACGCACGACAATCGACAAGTGCTTCGTTACGCTTCAAAGGGTTTTGCAGTGTGTAATTTCCTGTGGTGGTGGCAATAACTACGCGTTGCCTCTGGTACGCAAGCTCTTTCTAAACGCAAGATCAACCGCAACTCCGTCTTCGCTCCCCATACCGAAGGAGATTGTCATCAAAGGCTTCCGCTTGCTAGAAGCCAAATAAAAGTGCGGTTTTACCTAAAGTGTCGCTTAAATCATATGTAGAATCGACCATAACTTTTTAAATAAATCGTTACTTACCTGCTATTGGATAAATCTCTGAGTGAATGCGAATTTCATCGAGAAAAACCTCAATTTATTTCCGTGCTGTCTCTTCCGTAAAAGCAACGTTTTAGAGATAAAACAGATCCATGCAATAGCCAGTATCGAGAGGATCCAGCATTATTTTTCAGCGTGAATATCGCTAACTTGCCTAAGTTTTACGAACAAAAGACTACTAGGCCCTGGAAAACCGAGCGTAATGACGATGTTGTAGTTCTCATTTCGGAACAGTTTTCCCCAGCAAAAATCCCCGAATGCAGCAAGAGCTAAGCTGTCTGACGATGGTTTTTTTGTTGTCTAATTCGTTCTAAGGCCAATATTACACCCAAAAAACCGAAACGCGCATGTTATCGTGGACCAGAGAAGTACACGCTAAAAATTGCTCTGACCGGAGCGAAGGCTCCGCAGTCTTGTGGCAGCGATCATCCTCGCCCACACGTGTTGGACCTTCGATGAAGCACGTCTGCTTCTTCGTAGAAGCGCCTGGGCCTTTACATGATGACTACAGGTTGAAATACATGAATCCGTTGCGGGTACGTGTCCAACCGGCATTAGTAGAACCGGATACAACTCATGCTTGCCATCAAACATCATTCGTCATTTTGAGCTGCAGCGATAAGGCAGTTTGACCATCTTTACTCAGCGTCAAGGACGGCGATGACGCGTACACACCCGGCCTGGAACGAGTTCATCATTGACGAAGGGAAGAAATAGCCCGACGTCACGTGCAAGCACTGAGGGGCCTCTCTGCTGAAGTGCCAACCCAGAAGAAATCTCGCGCACTTGTCGAAGTGCTCCAGCTTACCGGAATCTGAACGACTCAAGTGGAGTTGATATGGTGAGCCTCTTGCTTCAAAAAGCAAGCGTAAGCACATGAGGAGGAAGAAGACGAGCCACGCACAGTCCCCAGGGCTTACTCAGGAGTCAGTGATCACCAATGCTCTCTGAGTCATTTCAAGTGCCACCCTTTCAATTTACCGACAACCTGAGCAATGACATGAAGGATCACTACCAAGTGCTGATCGCCAGGGGATTGTACGCTGCAGGTTTACCATTTCGCGCCTTCGAAGTTCTTCGGCTTCTCAAAGCACTTTGTATTCTGCAGCCAGCGATGAAAGAATATTTGCCGACTCGTAAGGCATTGTCGGGCCGCTTACTAACGGCCGAGTACAACCGCGAGATGGAGGCCGTGTGCTCACGACTGCGCGATGAACCAACAGTAGCACTCGTTTCGGACGGATGAACAAGTGTCGGCAAAGTGAAGGTCGTGAACTACATTGTTGTTTCCCCTTTGATGCGTCCTTTGGTGTGGTGTACGAGGACATATGGCGACGACGAGCAAACGTCAGAGTACGTGGCCGAACAAATCGGCGAAGTGATCGACGAAATAACCGCAGCTATCCGCAAGGAAGTGGTTGTGTCGGTAACGACGGACAACGCCCCGTCATGCTGGCCGCATGGGGGATCCCTGAGAAAAAACGACGAAGTTGATGCAGCAGTCATGTCATCAATCTCGTTATGGACGAAGTGCTGAAATTGTTATGGATAAACGGAGCTCTCAGCAATGCTGTCACGCTGGCCAAGTTTATAAGAAATCATCTCCAACTGCTTGCAAGGTTCAGGAGGAATCACAGGAAAAGCACCGACGCACGTTGCGCTTGCCCGTGCCAACTAGGTGGTACTCAAGTTATGAGTGTATGAAAAGTGTGTACGACAATCGCCGGCTCATCGACAAGGTTTTCAACCAAGAGAAGTCCATGAGGCGGTTTAGCAAGAGGAACCCAGTTAGGTTTCGTGAAGGTTGTCGGATAGCACAGACCAGCATGTTCTGGAAACGCTTGAAGTAGGTGATGAGATTTTCATTATTGATGCTATTGCAACACAGGACCGCGATCACTCATATATCTCTATGGTATACTATCAGTTCTGCCAGCTGAAAACCAACGCGCTGTACACCACTAACGTTGACGGGGTACCAAAGCAAGTCCAGACCAAGATTTTGGAAGCGATCCAAGCCAAGCGGGACTTCGTCCACACCGAGACAATGGGGTTTTCTTTTCTTTTGGATCATACCAAGAAAGTATCGGACTTTGTGGACGCCAATTTAGCTGACAGCATTGAAACGTTGAAGACATTAGCTGTGCAATTGGATATCGTCTTGACGGAGGCTGAAAAAATTCGCATCGATGCTGAAGTCAACGCTTTCTAGGTGAGGAAGCTCCGGTGGTCGCCTCGACGACGAAAGAAGCAGGACGGCGTTACGCCTTTGCTCTGGTGGATGGATGCAGCGCCCACTTACCCGTTGTTAGCTCCGCTTGCTTGTCGGCTTTACACGATCCCAACCTATTCAGCTGCCAGCGAAAGATCATAGAGTATTCATGACTTTATTCATTCCAAGAGGGGGAACCGGTTGATCGCAGCAAGGGTCGTGAAGCTCGTGCTCATTTATGCAAACGCAGGCGACAAGGATGCCACGACTAGTATCCTCAGCAAAGCGTTGGACGAAAGCGGGAGTGGGGATGACGACGACGACGAGGTGCTGGAGGAGGATTTCGAGCCGGAAAGCAGCGATGAATCCATGGAGAGCAGCGGAGTTCGAAGTGAGGGCAGCGACTTCAACGCGTTCTCGTTCGAGGGTAGTGAAGAGCAAAAGAGAATTTATAGCTTGCGTAAACGAAAATCTATTTTTATCCGCGGCCAGATGCAATGCATATTATGGCAGCGATGCATCCGATGTACTGCAATATGGCAGCGATGCATGCATCTGCCCAACACTAATTGTAATGATAACCATATATTTGCAAGTCAACTCCTACTAATTCTGAAAAGAAGGCATTCGAGCCATCATTGCTTTGTCTCCAATCGCCTTAAGAGTACCGTTGACCCTAACAAATGTCGAACATAAGGCTGCGCAAGTAAGCCTCCAGGAACTTCTTGATACGGCCCCAAAACGTGAAATTGTAGCAACCATGGTCGCGAACAACATGACCGTGGCACAGTCCACAGAGAAGATGTAATCGTGGAATAAGGACTTGCAGAAAATTGTCAAAAAGCTTAAGCTTGGAGACAATATACCCATTACTCGCTCAACGATGGTGTTTTATATTACCAGACTGGTGACGATGAAAGTCCGGGACTGTATATTCCGGATGACGAAGATCTGAGAAACCGCGTCATTTGCGAGAACCACGATGTAGTAACGGCAGGTCACCCGGGTCTTATAAGACCTATGTCGCAGTACAGGACAAGTGCTATTGGCCGAAGATGATGAAGTATATCCAGCGTTATTGCAACACTTGTTAAATGTGTCAGCGCAACCAGACGAGACAAGTGAAGACGCCGGGATTACTTCAACCGCTAGATGTACCAAGGGGTAGATGGGTAGACATTGTGATGGATTTCGCGGTGTCCTTACCTCTTAGCAAAGATAGCCGTAACACAATCATGGTCATCGTTGATCAATTGACCAAGCGTGCAAAGTTCATTGCAACGCAGATAACGGACAGCGCAGAAGATACTGCGATTGTTTTTATAAAACAAAATGTAAAAGATCAAGGTCTTCCGTAGACGATTGTGTCTGATCGTGACTCCAAATTACGTCCAAGTTTTGGCAGGCTGTTATCACTGCTATGGGAACGCTGCATAAGCTGTCATCGGCGTTTAGACCACAGAAGGATGGACAAATGGAACGTACAAACCGTTTTATCGGAGATTATCTTCGTGGAGTTGATTGGGATGAGTTTCTTCATATGGAAGAGTTTGCCTTTAATCGACTTGTGCATTTGATGATCAGAATGGCACAGTTTGAAGCGGATCATGGGTATATTCGATACATGCCTGACGATGTATCGTCCGATTCGGAATTTAATATTTTGGAGAAAGCGGCAAAAGCGATCTTACTCCGACAAGAAGTCTTCCTCAAGATATCACAGAACCGTATGAGTTAAGCCTAGGAGCGTATGAAACACTACTAGGACAGGAACAGATGTGGTGAAGCGCCAGTTGGCTTTCGTGAATAAGAAAACTGATTGATGGGAAGCGACCCGATCCAGCCTTGAGACTCATGGTCGACGACGGTGCGTCAGTGATTACGTCATCATCGGTGAGGATTACGCAATCATCGGAGTGGATCGACATGGTGCAATCATTTGGGTACACGATCGACCGACAAGGA